AAGAAAAATAAATAAAATGCAAAAGAATTGGATAGGAAAAACAAGTCATTTTTTACATGTCTGTCTCTATAGAAAAAACAAAACAAAAGAAATCTAAAGACAAATATCTACATGCAAATATCAATTGTATTTCTTTATACTATCAACAAAGACTTAGAAAACATAGCAAAAGATATAATTTACAATAACAACAAAATATAAATTGTACCTAGAAATAAGCTACCCATACAACTGAATGGTTCATTCCCTCACCTCTTCAAGTCCTTCCTCAAACTCCATCTTCTTAATTTGGCCTACTGTGACCACTCCATTTAAAACCACACCTCCCCCACCCCCAAATTCCAGATCAGTTTTATTTTTCTCTATTTTTTCCCACCTAACACCTTCTAACATACTTATAATTACTGTTTATTGCCCATCTCCCCAATGTCTTCTCTGTCCATGAATATGGATATTTTTTTCTGCTTTGTTTACTGTGGCATTCCTAGAACCTAGAACAGTGCCTGGTACATAGTAGATGCTCAATAAATATTTACTGAATGAGTGAATGAATGAAAGCAATAAGTGTATGTAGACTTTACTGAGAAAATTATAAACCTTTATTGAAAGGCTTTAAAGAAGATCTATATAAATGGAGAGATAAACCATATTCATGGATAGGAAGACTCAGTAGCATAAAGATGTGAATTCTCCTCCAAATTGATGTATAAGTTAACTGTACAAAACCCCCAGAGATATATGTGTGTGTGTGTGTGTGTGTGTGTGTGTGTGTGTGTGTGTGTTGGTGTGGAACTTTCTACATGGATTCTAAAATTTATATGGAAGCACAAAAGGCCAAAATAGTCAGTTCTTCCCTGAAGAACAAGAGAAGATGGGAACCTTATCCTACACGCTTGTCTGTATTATTTTTATATAGATATAGTGATTCAAACAATGCCATGTTAGCACAGAGATTATCAAATAGATCAAGAGAATAAAACACAAGAGTCTAGAATCGGACACACAAATAGAAGGAAACTTGATTTAGGACATAGGTGGCACTGAAGCTCAGTAAGAAAGGATGAGTTATTTAATAAATGATACTAGAATAATTAGTGATTCATAAACAAAAATAATTACATTGATACCTTAATTCACACCATGCCCCCAAATTAGCTCCACATGGATTACTAACCTAAATGTACAAGGAAAAACTGTGAAATCTTTAGAAGAAAATATAGGAGAATATCTTTATGACTCAGCATAGAGAAAGGTTTCTTAAACAAAATGCAGAATGAAATCCATGAGGAAAATATTGATAAATGCAACTACACTGAGTTACTTGATATACACTTCCCTGACAAAGGATCAGTATCTCGGATCTAAAAAGAATCATTAAAATCAATTATAATTCCTGGTGATTTCAGTATCAATGTAAATAGATAATTCTTCCACACATTCTTCTCTCCATTCCTTGAGTATCTCTCCTCCAATGACCTTCTCTCTACCCTCCCTTGGCCACACATTACCAATAAACGGAATTTCCGAATAATCCTACCTACAGACAACCCACTCCCTAACCACCAGCTCCAACCCCTTCTAGTACCTCAACTCTAGTAATTCTTGGCCCCATCAAAACCTATGTTCCATTCATCCTGCCTTCTCTTCACTCTCCCATAGTCCTCTCCTTTCTGAGCTTAAATTCCTTGTTCCATTTTTGTAAACACCCCTTGCTTACACTTTTCACTCTCTTGCCCTCTCATGTTTCATCGTATTCACATAGCAAACCCCTAACTCTGGCTATATGCAACCACTCAGCTGTTCTGCACCTGCACTTGTACAGCTCAGCAGGACTGGGGAAATTGCTCACTTTTAATTTATGACCACAGGTAATTCCCTGATGGTCCAGTGGTTAGGACTCGGTGCTTTCACTGCCATGGCCCCAGGCTCAATCTCTGGTTGGGGAACTAAGATCCCGCGAGCCACGTGGCGTGGCCCCAAAAACATAAATTTTAAAAATAAATAAATTTATGACCACAGATCTTAGGTGGGCCCTTAGTGCCACTTGGCAATCACAGAACATTTCCATCGTCCATTCACTCTCTTGGACAACTGTTTCATGCCCTAGTGTCTCCCTCTCCATCCTCATCCTCAACTGTTGACCTTGCTTCCTATTTCACTGAGAAAACAAAGCAATCAGAAAAGAACATCCGTAAGCTCCTATGTTGGATATTCCCATTTACCCATGTCCAGGTTCTCTATCTTCCCTGCTGCCTCCATGGATAACGTCTGTGCTCTCAGCTAAAGCCAGTCCTCCACGTGTGCAGGAGAAACCCTGCCCTTCGCTGATTAGAGGACATTGCTTCAGCCATTCTCCCTTCTAACACTTGCATCATAATTTTCCATTTCCTACTGGGTTTTTGTCATCAGCATCTGAACAAGCTATATCTTTTTCTTGGCCTTACACTGTGCTCCTATCACCACCCTGTTCCATCCTGTTTCTTTGATCCCTTTAGGGTGAAGGTCCAGAGTTCCTTTAGTCACTGTCTCTAATCTCTCTTCTCCCATTCTCTCTTAGACATACTCCTATCAGAATTCTGCCCCTTTTGCCACTGAAATGGCTCCTGTTGAGGTCACCAATGTCCCCCACATTGCTAAATCGAATGATTAACCCTTAGTCTTTTTATCATATCCATGAGCAGCATTTGATGCAGTTGACTATTGCCTCCTTTTGGGATAATTTTTCTATCTAGGCTTCTGGGACTCCACTCCCCTGATTTTCCTTCTACTTTACTGGCAGCTGCTTCTCATTTTCCTTTGCTGGTTACACATCTCCATGACCTCTCAACATTGGACACCTCAGAATGCAGTTCTCGGACCTCTCATGTTTTCTTACAACACTCGTTCCCTCAATGATTTCATTCATTCAAATCTACATCTGTAGCCTGGACCTTCCCCTCGAGAGCCACACTCATGTGTTCAGCTCTTTTTCAACATCTCCACCTGGAGGTTTAGCAAGAACCTTAAATGTCATATGTCTCTCCTTCCATAACAAATCCTGTCAGTTCTGCCTATGAAGTGTATCCAGAATCCAACCACTTCTTACAAACTTCTCTATAACATCCCTTCTGTTGCAGCCTCCATCATCTCTCCTGGATTATTGTCATGGTTTCCTAACTCATCTCCCTGTCTCCACCCTTGCTTCCTGCGGGTCATCTTCAACACAGGAGCTAGAGTTAAAAACTTGTCAAAACATAAATCAGGTCATATCATTCTTCTCAAACACCCCCACTGGCTTCCATGTCATCCAGAATAAAAGTCAAAGTCCTTACAGTGGTTTACAAGAATGGCCTACATGCAACCTACAAGGCCCTGCATGGTCTGGCCTTCCTCCTGCCCCACCCATTGTATCTCTGACATCTTCATCTCCTACTGTCCCCCTCATTCCAGTCACCTGGGCCTTCTTGCTGTTCCTAAAACACAACAAGTACACTCTTGCCAAGAACATTCTTCTCCCAGATTCATACTTGGCTCGCTCCTTTATTTCCTTCAGGTCTTGGCTCAAATGTCATAGTTTCAGTGAGGTCTTCCTTAAATACTCTAAAATTGCAGTAGCCCCTTCCTGGGCACTGTCTGATCTTTCCTGATGGCTTTCTTTTTCTCCTTAGCTGTTATTACCATCTAACATGCTGTACATTTTATTCAGTTAGTTTATGTCTATCTCTCCTACTAGATTGTAAGCCCATCGACACAAGACTTTTTGTCTGCGTTGGTCACTGCTTAATCCACAGCATATAGAAGAGACCCTGGCACAGGGTCCATATTAACAGTAGATGTTAACATTTAACAATAGATGTTAAAAAATTATTTGTTGAATGAATAAACAACATACTAATCGGCCAGAATACGGCAACAGGCATTCTCAAAATAGCTGGTACGAATATCAATTGGTATAATCTCTACAGAGGACAAATTGGCAGTAACTATCAAAAGTACAAATGCACATCTACTTTGACCCAGAAATTCTGCTTCTAGTAATTTCCTTTATATAAATTCACACATGTGCTAAGTGACACATGGACAAAGTAATTCACGACAGCATATTTTATCCCTGAAAAAGAATGAAAACAGCCAAAATGTCCAGCAATAGAGACTAAAGAAATTATAGTTCATCCGTACAATGGAATATTTTGCAGTAGAAAAAAGAATAAGGAGACTGCTTGTGTCTGCATTTTCTTGCACAGACTATCTCAGGAAGGATACCCATGAAACTGGTGACAATGCTTGCTTATTTGGAGGGCAACGGATGAGTCCGCAGCAGCGGTAGGAGACTTTGCTGTCAACCCTCCTAAACTTGAATTTTAGTACATTGTGAATGGTTTAATGGTTTACTAAAAGGAGAACAAGGCAGGGTTTATGTTCCAATATGGAATGAGTTCTAAGATATATTGTTACAAATAAAAAGGTAAGTACGAAAGACTGTGTACAGTATGCTATACATAGGGGTGGGGCAGACATACTTTTCGTTATTTACTCTTTTATACTTTTCGAATTTTGTACCTTATATATGCATTTCCTATTCAAAAAGAAATAAAATAATTTTAAAAAATCATGGTGGGAGAATGCATTTTCATATGCATCACCTTGACAATCCTATGATTGAAGCTTGCTAAGTATTTCCCTATTTTTTAAACAAAGGAAACACGATCAGAGAAGTCAAGTCAAACAGCACAGAGGCACCAGGCACCAGGACTAGAGCCCGCTTCCCTGCCAGGCCCTCCCAGCCCCTCTAGCCCAGCAGCCTCTACCACCCTCCACCCCTGCCCTCTCCAGCTCCTTCCCTCAGGACACACAACTCTTATGCCCAGCCCCAGAAGGTCTGCCACCAGGGGCTTCAGTCAGGGGACCGTTTCTCTCTGCTCAGAGTCACCAACAGGGTGGTGGATGCCCCCACGCTCTGTGGCTGATCCCAGCCTACCCTGGCCTTGCAGCTGCCAGGCCCCTCTTCCCCTGGTCTGTACCTGTCAATGATGACGGGGTCTGAGGGTGTCTCATTCCGGTTGCCACAGCTCTTCCGGTCACAGCACCGGCTGAAGGAAAGATGAGAAGGGAGGGAAGGAGGAAGGGGGTGAAGGAGAGGGAGATTACAGCACGTGGTGTGTGTGTGTGTGTGTGTGTGTGTGTGTGTGGCTCCAGGGTGAGGATGCTGATGTCCTGTCTCTGAGTATGGAATCCCTGGGCCAGAGGGGCTCACTGTCAGGGGCCTGGGGGAGACAGGCAGTGAGAGTCCTACACAGGGACCTGGAGAGCCCTTATCCCTGGGGTTAAGGATGGCCAAGAAACCCTTGTCCCAAAGGCATGCTGCTCCTGGAGGATCCAGGAAAGGGCAGGCTGCTGACCACCTACTCTCTCTGTACACTTTTTATACAAGTAGAAAAGAGCTCCAATTGTAAGCATGAACCTCATGAATTATCACAAAGTGAGCCCACCCATGTAACCAGCACCCATATCAAGAAATACCATGTGACTAGCGCCCCAAAAGCCCCCTCATGCCTCCTCCTGGTCACTGCCCTTCCCAAGGGTAGCCACTGTCCCAACCAGATTTTTGAACACTATTTTCTTTTTCACGTATGAAGAGCTGCCTCGGAGGACCCTTCCTGACTGACATCTCCTGGTGAGCCCTTGCCTAGAAATGCCAAGCTCTGGGGTAATGGGGAAGGGGAGTCTAGCACTGTGTTCCCTCTTCCCCATCCTGCCTGCCCAGGGGGTGCCCTTAAGTTCACATAAGAGGCAGCAAAGTTTCCTCCTCCAGCTTCTGAGCTAACCCAGGAGGCCCAGGCCCTGCCCCCATCTCCCAGGGAGCCCTCCCCAGAGCTTTATTAGTTAAGCTTCCCGGTAGCAGCAGGAGGCCTCTCTTACAAAAACACTCGGAGAAGCCACATAAACAGGCCCGGCTAATGGGTCCTCAAGGACCCTCTCCTCAGCCAGCACTGTGCCCAGGGGCCTCACTCTTCCCTCATCACCCCCCAACCCCAGGCTTCCCTGGGGATCAGTGGGGAGGGGGTTGGTGGCAGTGGTAGGGGTCGGGGCAAGAGGCCAGGGGCAGGGGACCTAGCCCTTCTCACCTGCACATGATCTCGTGGGTGAGTAGCACGCGGCACATTTCGGGGTTCTTGTCCTGCCCCTCGTAGATGATGGCCTGGGGAAGGGGAAGTGCGCAGGCTGGAGGGGAAGGAGGCTCCTCTCAAGGCCAGGTGGAAGGGCAGCTGGGCCCTGCTCCCGGGGAAGAGTACGCCCTCCAACTCTCTCTGGGAGCCCAGGAATGCAAAGAGGGAGCTGGGAACCTGGCTTCCCAAACCAGTACCACTATCAGAATGGGCAAGAGTGGCATGAGGTCTACAGATTCTGTCTGTCCACAGGCAGCTCTTTCCGGAGCCAGCTCTGCTCAGGGGCAGGGAGGTCCCCAGATCACCATGACCAAGGTCAGGCTGCCGGGAGGGCAGACCTCCACGGTTCTCACAAGCTTTGTCCCTCCAGGCTGTCCCGCTGGCTCCTTGGCCCCTCTCCCCACCCCTATCACCTCCGCAGGCCAGGCCAGTGGCTCCCTCTTGGACTGCTGGATCAGCCACCCCCCCACCCCCCCACCCCCAGCCAGTCCCCCAGCCTCTCCTCCGCCCTGAAGCAAGGAGTGAGCTGCCCAAACCACACATTTGGCTTCCACCTTATAACCTCTGTGCCACGCAGCCATCCCTTATTTGTGGGTCCCTCTCTCTCCGGACGTTCTCCAACCCCTTCCACACTTGTTGACCATGCAATCCCACTTTGCCACTGCCTGGTCCGCCTCCCACACCATGGCGACCACAGGCTTCCTAGAAACACACCACTTCTTCCTCTGCCCTGGGATTGGGTGGGGGCTGCTGGAAGACTGTCTGTGTGGGAAAGCCCAAGTCTCCACCTCAAGTTGCAGGCCACTGATTTTCACATCTGAGACTCAGCCCTGCTCCTTTACCAGCGCACACAACCTCTCTGAAAAGCCTGAGGCTTGGGGCCCTGTGGCTGCACAGTCCGTCAGGGCTGACTCAGGTTTCAGTTGCCCCGAGCTCCTCATGCTGGTCCCTGAGCCTCCTTCTCTTGTCTTTTCAAGTCAGCAAGGTACTGAGGGCCTGCAGTGGAAGCTCTGGGGCCCCACTCAGTCCCCTCTCCTGGACCATTGCACCCATCCCCCAGCTGTGGGTAGCATTAGCTGCTAAGGGCTTTCTCTTGAGAACTGCTCTCAGCAGACAGGAGCTTGCTTCCCCTGGAAATGTCTGGAAGGTTACACTCTCCCCTTGGGAGTGGTCCCAGCCAGTAACTGACCAATACAGGGGACAGAATCCTGGCCTCCTTGCCTCAAGGGGGAACAACTCTGGTGCCATTCCTTCTCCAGGGCTCCTCGTGGATCAGGCTGAGGCTAGACTCCAGCTGAGACCACATCCTTGCTGAGCATCCCCTGCCCTGTCCTGCTTCTCCTCCCTCCCCTTCTAAGAGCTTCTTCCCTCCTCCCCTATAAACCATATGTACCTGAATCCCCATCTAGGCTGAACTTCTAGGTTACAGGACCTAAGACAAAGTCGTTGAACAAATATTGTCTTTTTCTTGTCTAGAGGGCAAAAGCTACACATCCTCCTCCTGTGGACAGTGGTGAGAACTGTGGACAGCTAGACTGGTGAGGATGAAGGGCATAGGGGAAGTGGGGGCAGGGACAAGGATGCTTGCTCAGACCACAGGGAGATGGGGGTCAGAGAAGGGGCTGGACAGGCCTGAGCATCCCCTGGGCTGGCTCACCTGCTTGGACACGGAGTCGATGAGACGCACATAGAGGTCCTGTTCTGTCCGAAGTCCTAAGGGTGGAAAGGCAGAGAGGGCTTGCTATTTGGGGAGCCCCTGTGGCTTCTGATGACTGAACACACTCCACACCTTTCCCCGCTGAAGCCAGGCCCCCTCCACCCTGACAGTGGGGCACCAAGTGTCACATGGTGCTGCGGTACCCAGTGGGCAGTGGGCCTCGCTCACCGTTGTTATATACCAGCCGGAGGCGATAATGGACCCCGTTGTTTGTCTTTTCAGCCCCGGGCTCCTGCAGGGACAAGATACGGAGGATGCATGGTGCTCCCGGGGATCCTCCAGCCACCGCCCTCCCCCCCGACTCCCTTCCCACCCAAACTTCCTCCCTACCCCCCTCCCTCCCATCCATTCACCACCCCCTTCTCCACTTCTCCACCACCTATCCATCATCTGCTCCAGGGGGAGGGGGTTCCCTGAAACCCTCCCCAGCCCCCCACCCTGTTCCTTCCCAGCGAGCCCATGAGCCTCTCACTCGGTCCTTCTCCACAAAGTCGATGAAAGCTGTACGCTCCACCTCCACCGGCTGCCCCTGCCGGTCATACATGGCCAGCACGAAGTGGAAGAAGTTGGATTTCCTGAGGTTGGAGGGGGGCTGCTTCTCAAAATGTGCTCGTGCCAGGCCCACGCCACTGTGGGGAGGAAAGTTGCTGGGAAACCACTGGAAGTGCCCTCCAGAGAGGAAGACCCCCTCACCTCTGACCAGGTAGGTGGGCTGGCCAAGACTTGGCTCTGATGTGTCAAGAGTTTGGGCAAGAAATTGGATGGGCCCATTCCACCCTTGCCAGGGCCATCTCAGTTCTAGAAGAGGCCTCCCAGCCCTGAGGTCACCCCAGCCTGCTCCCATGGGAATAAGCAGCACAAGCACAGGTGACAACAGAGGCATCCCGGGCAGACTCCTTCCCAGACTTTTCCCTGGGCCTCACATTTTGGAAGGCTGATCTCTAAAACCAAATGAACAAGCAACCCATCTTACTGACCTCAGGCTCCTGTGACTGCCCTTTAGGGCCTCAAGGGGAAGCTGGGAGGTTTTGGAATGAATATCCCACTGTACCCCAGCTCCTGGCTATGTGCATGAGCCTACGGTATTGCCTGGGAGATGATGAAGTCCATCAGACACTCAAGAGACACTGAACTGGCTCAGGGCCACTAGTCTGGCCAGCCTGGACCCTGGGCTACGGCTGAAGGTGGGAATGTCCTCCCTAGGTATAGGGGGACCTGCCTCCATGCTTGGAGGAAGACACCACTGGCTCCCTTGGGCAGAAGGATCTTCTGGTCTGGCCTTGCTTTCTCCTGGCTCATCAGAAACCAGTCCCAGAAGCAAAGCCAGGGTGAGAGCAGGAGGAGGAGAAGAACCAAGGCCCTGTTCACCAAATATTTCCTGAACCCCAATGATGTACCAAGCGCTGGCCACATGGCACCACGTGGGGCCAGAGTGAAACACCTGGAAGGGGAGGGAAGACAGATACAGAGAGCTGCAACACAAGACAGAGTGGTGGGTGCCCCCTAAGAGATGTCACTATATAAAAAACGGTAAAAGCAAAGGAAAAACGATTAATTCTTTCTGTGTGTGATGAAGGGAAGACTTCACGGTGATGGTGGCCTTCCCCCTGGTCTTTGAGGAATGAATAGGAGCTCAACAGGGGCAGGAGGCAAAAGGGCAGAACTAACAGCATAAGAAATGGCTGTAGGTATGAGGGTTAGTATCACTGGACCACTTCAAAGACTGAAGTGAGGAGAGAAAGGGTTTTATTGGAAGTGCCAGACTATCCATGCAAACAAAAACCAGGCCATGGAGTTTAGACTTTCTTCTCTGGGCCAAGGTCTTCCAAAGTGTGTTCTTTAGCCCTCTCATGGCTCCAGATCCTCATTCTATGAAAGAGTGCTATACCCACAACTGCTGGGAAGTGCATACACAAGTGTATGTGGGGGGCCCTGGGACACCCTCCAGGAATGGACCCTCCTTGACCCGCTCAGGCCAGTGCTCCCCATGTGGTAGCGAGTCTCCAGGATGGTTCCCCATGATCCCTGCCTCCTGGTAGTCAGGTCCTTATATAGTCTCCTCCCATACTGTATCAGGATTGGTCTGTGTGGCCAACAGAATATGGCACAAGCGACAGCATACAATTTCTAGGGTTAGGTCACACAAGACACGCGGCTTCTGCCTTGTTCACTCTCTTGGATTAGTCACTCAGGGGGAAGCTGGCTGCTGTGTTGTGACGATACTCAAGCAGCCCTATGGAAGGTCCACGTGGAGAAGAACTGAGCCCTCCTGCCAGCAGCCGGCACGAACTGATCAGCTGTGTGAAGCCTACCAGCCCCAGTAAAGCCTTCAGATCACTGAAGCCTCATAAGAAACCCTGAGCCAGAACTACCCAACTACACTGCTCCCTGATTTCTAACTGTAAGAAACTGTGTGAGATAATGAATGTTGTTTTACGTTGCTGAGTTTGGGGGTGATTTTTTTTTTATGTGGCAACAGGTAACTAACACGCCATGCTTACTTGACTACAGAGCATTTTGGTGCAGGGATGTGGTATGGGAAGTATGACTAAAGGCCACCAGAAGGCTCTGGTCAGGCAGGGCTTAGAAGATGCTGTAAGCAAGGAGGGCACAGTGTGGTAGAAAAGTGAGAGGCTGCTTCAGGGATGCAGAGGTGAGGATGAGAATGGTGGAACTGTCTTGAGAGCCATTTAGACCAGAGTCCCATCATGGACATGCCACTGTGACAGCATCTGCCATACTCATCACTACTTAATATTTTTCTTCGTATAATTTTAAATCAACTTACTCTTACTTGGCTTCTTGCAAAGCCATAATATCTGAAATGTCATGGGCTTCAGAAGCGTGTTGTGTTTTTACTCATACAGATTACAGTAAATAAACAATAAAATGAAAACCGCTCCTCCTCTTGAAAGCCTGCTTGGGAGCCTCAGTCGTCCATGTAAAATGCTAATTTTGGAGGCAGAAGTGACGGGTCTTGCTTGTTCCTGATCAAGATGAGGAGGGGGCCACCAACACCTTCTCTTGCCCACCAAAGGTTATTTCTACACGTTCCTTGCTCCAGGATCATCCTCCTCCCTCCTTCCTCGGTGTCCCTCTCTTCTCCTCAGCCTCAGGCTTACAGTCCAAAGTCCAGGCCTTGACCCTCCCGCTTCCCACTTGCCAAGAGGCAGGGAAGCCTGAAGACAGCTTTGATCACAGCAGGTCCCTGATTACTGTTGATGAATATGCTAATGAGGCAGCAACCCTGACTCCTCCCTCCAGCCCCCAGGACCAGCTTAGGGGCAGTGAGGCTCCCCAGGGACAGGACCACCTGGGGGTAGATAAGGTCAGAAGGAGATGGGCTGTGGAGCCATCCCAGATCACTCTGCCCTTTACTCTGTCATCTAGCCCAGGAAAGGTGCCTGGAAGGCGCTCAGACAGTGAGGAAAGAGCTATAGAGAAAGAAAGAGGCCTTAACAGAGGAGGGGTGGAGGCTAAGCGAGCACACAATCCCCTGGACCCCTCAACATACCCTATCTACACAGACACTCCTGTACTTCCCAGGCCAAGAGTCAATCAATAATGCTGAGCTTCCTCTCCCATCCATCCCTCTTGGCAAATACCAGTCAGTCCTGGGTCCTGGCTGCCTGGGGTTCCTACCAGGCTCCTAAGGACCAGACCTGGGAAGTCTGCCCTAAGCCCCAAGCCAAGCTCCCTTCACAGGGCCTGCCCTCTCAGCAGGAGGGGATTCCTAGGGAGAGTGGTTGGGGGGACCAGGGGAGGGGAAAGGGAGCAGGTATCCCTGCCTGGGGTCTGTGGACCAGTAGCCAGTGCTGCCAGCTGCAGGGCATCAAGGGGCTGCACTGACCTACTCCACAGTGGGATCAGGCTCCATTCTACTTCCCTCGAGGCAGCCCAGCATCAGCCTCCATTCTCCACCTTGCTTAGTGGGTCTGAGGCACAATCACACACATCCACGCAAAGCAATGGGACAGAGGCGGCTAGTTTATAGCTCTGGGACAGGGATCACTATCATGAATGACAGCGGAACAATATGACCCCAAGCAGACCAGGAGAGGATGGCAGAATAGGCAAGACCCCTGCTGGGCATGCCCAGGACTGCTCCTGGTCTGCGAATGTCTCCAGTTTACCCTGTTCATACCCCTGTGACACAAGTGAGAAGACCAAGGTGAAATGGAAAAGGTTTTGGTTTAAAGAAATTCTCAGGGCTTCCCTGGTGGCACAGTGGTTGAGAGTCCACCTGCCGATGCAGGGGACACGGGTTCGTGCCCCGGTCCGGGAAGATCCCACATGCCGCGGAGCGGCTAGGCCCATAAGCCATGGCCGCTGAGCCAGCACGTCCGGAGCCTGTGCTCCGCAACGAGAGAGGCCACGACAGCGAGAGGCCCGCATACGCAAATAAATAAATAAATAAATAAATAAATAAAATAAAGAAATCCTCATATTTCCTATGAACACAGAGAAGGACATGAGGATTAGAACAGCAGCTAGAGTGCCAGATGCAAGTCTGTCTGGACTTCTGGTTCCCCCAGGCACCTCCATGGCCTACCTGCCAGTGCAGTGGGTGACCAATCAGCATCCCTGAGCAGAGCTGCAAGCTGCAAAGGGAGAGGGTGCGGAGCGGGAGGGGGAGACTTCTGCTCTTCTCCCCTTGGGAAGAGCTGATGCTCTTGTAATGAGAAAGCAAACCAAGATTAAAGAACAGAAAGAAAGAGACACAGAAATATGCTCAAACAGCTCAGAAGATAGACCCGGGCCGTGGAGAGGTCTGAGAGGCCTGCTGGGGCACGCTGGGAGAAGACATGTGCTCCCACAGTACCTTAGAGGCAGAGATGTGGATGAAGGCCAAGGTCTCTGATTCTGTGGTCTCCAAAGTGGGGTGGCCCTTGCAGAGAAACTGCAAGGATGTTTATTGATAGGAATCCTTTATCTAGAAGAAGGGAGAGAGGCAGGAGGAGAGCCCCAGAAGTCTGGAGAGGCAAGTGTTTTATCTGGGTTTCCCCAGAAGCAGACCCTGAGACAAGGATTCATATGTGAACACTTTATGTGGGAGGTGTCCAGGAAACCTTGGCGGGTATGGGGAGTGAGAGAGAGAAGGAAAGGCAGTCCCTAACAGGTGCATTATCCAAGAGTAACCACTGTGGGCAGCTGCAGCTCAGCCGCCAGGGAGCTCTGGAAACAAGTCTAGAACATGTGCTTCAGCTAGTCAGAGGGCTGAGCAAGGGAGCTGGGGTCTTCATCGTCCAACTCCAGTCAGTCACTGGCTGAGGGCTTCTGGGGCGTCATCTCTCAGGTGCTTCTGGCCTGTTGTGCAGGTGGGTGGAGCAGGCTCTGGCCGTCTAAGAGTCTTAGGAGGCAGTTGCTGGCAGAGGAAGCGGACCCTTTCCCAAGGGTCCCCAGGGACATGGGTGGGGTAGCAACTCCCAGCCATCCAGAGGCCTGCGGTGTGATGGAAGCCAGCAAAGCTACAGCCCAAGGGCTTGCGTGCAGCCTGGCAATATGCACGAGAACTGCCTCACTTGGTGCGTGTATTGCTGGAGCCTATAATTCAGAAACGTCTCATTCACTTAGCGTGATTAGTGCACAAAGCGTGCCACATACACGCCTTTTCCAGGTAAATGCAGCTGAGTGATGAAAACAGCCACATTAACCACTTTTGTAAGACTCCCAAATGATTTACACATCTCCTTGCTTTCTTAAAAAGACTGTTTTCAACAAAATGTTCAAAACATTTTCCTATCAACTCCGGAGTGTGCTGAGGTGGTGGGGCATGTGCTCCTGTAAAGAGCACGGATGTGGGAGGAGAAAGTGCTCATCTTCATATTTCCACCAGGGCCCACTCACCCCCTTCCCATCTTTTGAAATAGCCCCCAAATTAAAGGAGACTGGGACAGAAAAGCTTCGGTGTGCACAGCTATTTTTTTGGTTGGAGGACATCCGAGCATGGGTGTGTGTGGGCTTCCTGAGTACTGTGCTGGGAATCCAGGTTGAAGGTGACACCAAGGGCAACCTGACCTTCACAGCCTGAGTCATTCAGGTAACCTGTGCTTCAGAGTACAGGGGGATGCATCTGGGGGCATCTGGGGGCTGCAGAGTTGTCTGGCTGCTATTGCTTGGCCACCCAGGAGTCCCTGGAGATGCTCCTTTTCGAGGCTGAGCAGGTTGCCCCAGGAACTTTCTTGCAGCAGCTGGACCTCGCCACAGCTGTCTAGGACAGACGACGCCTCCCTCACAGTCAGTCTCGGCTCTCGGGTCAGAAGGCCATTCATAAGTCTTAACATCCTTGATTAGGTACTTATTATAAGTGCTAGCAATTTAAAACAAGCATCTCAAATCTCACAGAGGACAATGGCCGAGACTGGAGCTTTGGCCTTCCCCCAGAGGCACCTTCAGGCCTTTGTCTCCCCTGCACCCCTCTGCCCTCTACTAAATGCTAACTCTTGCCTGCCTTGGCAGCCCAAGGTTCCGAGCAGTGCCTTGGCTTGGGCCTGATCCATCTTGGAATCTGGGATGCTGGGGAAATGGGGAGAAGCCCTGTTGTTATCAGCAGTTGGGGGAGGCTCCTTTTTGATCCCCCCTCCACCCTGGAGGTGGAAGGAGTAAAAGTGTGTATTTCCTGCATCTCATCCTTTGTCTCAGATTTCCCTACTGTCTCTGCTAAATCTAGATCTTCTTTTCCCCATACTAGCATGGTTGCGTAAGTCCCACCTTCCTCTCCTCTGCATCCTCTCTTCCTCCAAGCCTCCTACTGGCCATAGCTCTCCCTGCAGGCATCCTTTGGGTCCCTGGGACTGCTGAGAATCATCAAGCTGGGCCTGGCATTCCTGACTCCAGCCAAGATCTATTGGCCTAGCCCAGAGCCTGGGAAGATAAAAGCAGAGGCTCACTGGGGTGAACCCACCCCAACAATGCGACAGTGCAGGCAGGAGGACCTGGTGCCTAGAGGCAGCTGCCCAGAACCTGAGTCTAGAAGGGCCTGCCAGAGATGAGGCTTTGGGGCTGCTTCATATCCCCTGTCCCACTGCCCCAGCAGGGGCTCTGCTCACTTGTCCCAGGAAATTATCTCAGCCATCAGGTCCCTGGATGAGGGGGGAGGGGAGGATCTCACTAGCCAGCTTTCCCATGTTTCCTCTTGCTCTCAATTCTACCCAAAGACTGTCCACCCTCTTCTCTGTGCCCACCCCCCTCGCCACCCACCCACAGGCCTGCCTGCCAGGTCCCAGGCTGAGGAAGAGCTATTAATTATTAAAGCAAACAAAAGCATTTCCTAGCAGGGATGCTAGCCTGCTGCTGCTTACAGGAAATGCGGCCCCAGCTGGCTTCCCTCTCATGGCCCAGCTAGTGTTCTGGGACCAGCTCAAGGGGGAGGGCTAGCCTGGGTGCTCCAGGAGTCTCCCCAGGCTGGGAGTCACATCAGAAGGAGAGTAGAACTGCTTCTGTGCTGAGAGATAAAGTCCTGTTGGCCCAGGGTAGGCCAGGGATCCTTGTGCAGAGTTCCCCACCAGGAAGACCCTGCCAGCCTTTCCTCTTACCTCCAGTGTATGGTATGCAGCCTCTCTTTTCTCCCTACCCCTCTTGCGCTCAGAACTTTCCTTCCTGTTGGCAGGCCCTCCCTCACTGATCTTAGCAGGCTCTGGGCTTTCTCCTCCTTCTCCACCTTCTGAAAAACCCTGGCGCTGTAAAGATGGGCAGCAGCAGCTGCTCCAGTACCTGGTTCCTGGGGTCAGGTAGATCACCAACGTGGACAGCGGAGCCCAACAAAAACGAACTTAGTAACCTTCTAACACGCACGCCTGCTTCCTGCAGCAGATACTCATTACCCCCTATTGACTGCTCGAGCCTGGTGCTGTGGACACGAGGATGAATGAGCCACCATCCATGCCCTAAAGGAAGGTGTAGGCTGGCAGGGCAAGGAAGCCCAGGACAGGCAGGGCACAGCTGACTCTGGCCTGTGAGAAGCATCCTTAGACAGCACTAAGAACTGCTCCCCTGGGCCGGATGGGAGGGCACAGAGAGAGAAGGTGCTGGGGGGAGGGTTCCAGAGGTTGTAAGATTTTATTCAGTGGGTGTGTGGGTGCTGGGAGCAGGGGAACTGTTTCAAGAGACATTGTTGGATGCCAAGAGTCATACAGAGGCTGAGAGGAAGCTTGGGATCAGACTGTGATGGGCCTCGAATGCTGAGTATCTGGGAGGAAGTGTGTGTGTGTGGGTCACTGAAGTTTTTAATTGGGGAGGGACACCATCAGAGAAGAGTTCTTTGGAAATGTTTCTTTGGCCCCTGGTGCATGGCAGACGGTTTGCGGGGGCGGGGGCGAGGTGGGAGGCTGGGACAGTGGGCTAGCAGGCTGAGGTGATACACTGGGGTTAACCTTCAAGCCAGGGAGGAAAGTCGTGGAGGGCAAGAGTGTGTGTCATGGTTACGAGCTGGCCGTGGGCACTGTGATTAGGAATAGGACCCAGAGGCACCGTCCAGAAGCCTTGACAAGCTGGCGGCTGTGGGGTGAAGGCAAAGAGGGCATCAAAGACAGCTGTCAGACCCCAAGCAACCTAGCAGGGAGTGTTCCAGGGCAAGTTCCTCCGAGACAGAGGGAGAGGAGCCTTCGGAGGTGGAAGAGGGGGGCGGGGCAGGGAAAGGAATTCCTGTCATTGTTGTTTTAGGATGAAAAGACCCAAATAGAGGACTGATGGAGGATCAAGAACCAACGGATGAGACGATGACATCTCAGGAAGAATGAGAAAGAAGTACCTCCCACCTGCTCCCATCGGCAGGAGGTGCCCAGAGGCAACCAAATGTGTGGGGGCTCCCAATCTGTGTCCTGAGACAGAGAAGCCTCTGGACTTGGAGATGAGCAGCCCAGGCCTGAAGAAATTCCTCTCTTCAAACTGGGGAGGCCTTCTGAGTCCTGGTGATGTGGCCCTGGGGACTCAGACTGGACACCTCAACCCCACTCAAGACCTCTTCCTCAGGTGCAGACAACAATCTCATGGGAAGAGCCTCATCGCCACACTTCCTGCACCCACACAGGCTACAAGGGCACTGCCTCCTTCCCATCGGCTTCCTGCTCATCAAACCTGCTGACAGGGACAGAGGGGAGTGTCAGAGAGAAGTAGGAACCTTAAACCATGAGGCCCCACTGGAAAACTTCGTCCTCTCTTACAAGGAGCTCTCATCACAAAGGCGGTGGTGGAGAAAAAGACAAAGAAATTGACCAACTCAAATTAAGTGAAAAACCAGAACCAAAAGAAAAACAAACAGGATACAGAATTATATGTATAACACAGGAAAAAAGTATGTTAATGGGAAGATGGGAAGGAAATACACTAAATTATTGACAGTAGCTATTTAGAGAGATGGGGTTTTGTTTTCATTTTTTTTCTAGAAAAGTTATATCATGAGTAAAAATATGGATATTAATTCATAGGCAAGACCCTTTCTCTTCCTAAAAAGGTGAGCTCCAGAGAGAGGCCCTGGTGCTCCCTCTGGACAGTCATGAAAGCACAGGAATGCAGGAACACCATTCAGTTTGAACATGAAACAAGGTGTGTGTCTGTTAAGGGGTGAGGTTGGGGTTGGTGGTGGGGTGGTATCCCCTGAACAGGATTGGGGATGTGAATGTGTGGCTGGCATCCAGGTCTGGTCTGCCCTGGAAACCCCCCAGCAGAATCCCTTCCAGCTGCTGGACAATCAGCTGCTCAGACCTCTGGGAAGCCCAGCTCCCAAGTGTCCCATATGTCTGCAGAGGCAGCACCTCCCTAGTCCCAGGCACTGAGAACTCCAGGTAGGATGTCTAACCTCCCCTCCCCTTGCTCACAACTGGGGATACAAAAAGCCCAGGTGCTGTGGGGGGCTGGTCAACGAACCATTATGCTTCCTTTCCAAATCCAGGAGTCCATCCCCCACCCAGGCTCCCTGCCCAGACTCCTGAAAAGGAGTCAGAGGAGATGGGTGTGGGTGCTGGGTTCCCAGGGATCCCCTGCCTTGGGTAGGACCCACCAGAAAAACACCTGGAGGGACCTGAGCGGCCCTGACCCATCCTCAGCCCCAATCATTCCACCAAGCCGACTGCCCACCTCATCTCTTCCCCACCAGCCGCTTCTCCAGCTCCACACGTCCCCATCCTCCAACTCTGAGGGATGTGAGAAAGCAGAAAGGGGGCTGGGATTCGTGCCTTTCCTGGCCGAGATCTATGGAACTCGACAAGGAGGGGCACTTAACTGCCTGAGAAGGAGGGGTGAGCAGTTCCTTAACAGCTGGTGGCTGTGGGACTGCGGGCAGCCGGGAGACCTCCTCCTCTAGAGCCATGGACTGCTGGGCCAGCGAGCGGTAGTCAGAAATCAGAGCCGGGACATCCAGGAGTGGAGGCAGAAGCCCCGCCCCGGCCCGCCCCACATTCTCAGGAAGAAGCAGAGGCGCTCAGGGAGAGGTGGGCACAAGAGCTTGCCGGGACAGTGCAGAGTTGGGGCTCCCTCCAACCCCTCGCCCCAGCAGCTCAGCAAGCTGAGAGAAGGCGGCGCGGAGCCGTCCAACCCGAGCGCGCCCTGTCGCGTCCGAGCGCTTACCTCTGCGCCGCGGTGCTGGCGTCCAGGATGCCCGCGCCCTGCATCCAGGAGCGCACCGAGCCCAGGCCGGCGGGCAGCAGCGGCTCCTCCTTCAGGTTCAGCCCGCCGCGGGGCAGAGCGTCCTGCGCAGGAAACATAAGGGCGCGCAATCGGTGGGCGCTCCCACAGCCGGGGATCCGGTCCCGCCGAGGCTGCGGGGCGTCTCAGCTCCGCCCGCCCGACGGCACCCGGCGCCTGCAGGAGCGCAGCGCAGCGCCAGTCCCGGCCGCTCAGTGCGCGCCAGCCTCCTGGGCGCTCCCTCGGAGAAAGCGGGTCCGCGAGCGCCGGCGCTGTCCCCTCCCCTCCCGGGGCGCGGGGCGGGGAGATGGAGGGATTTCCCCGCGGCCTGAGCGCCGGCGGGCTGACTGAGCGCGGGGCGGTGAGGGAGGGGAGCGGAGACGGCACCCGGTCCGCGCAGAGGCGCCCTAGAGGCGCGCTCTGGCGGCTGCCCAGGGCCGCGGTCGTCGGAGGGGGGGGCCCGAGCACCCCTTGAACTGCCTCAGGCGAGGCGGGGGCGCGGGGCTGCCCGCCCTTTCCCCCTCGCCGCCCCCACCTCCCGCCCACCCGCCCGCGGCGCCGGCGCGGGACGCTGATTACCATCCAGGAGGAGGAGGCTGCGGGCGCGGAGCTCGGCGGCGGCGGCGGCGGCGGCGACTGCGGCGGTAGCGGCGGCAGGAGCAGCAGCAGCCGTGCGTCCCGAGGAAAGGCAGGGGCAGCGCCGGGCCAGCAGACGCCTCCGCCGCCGGCGCCCCGCGTGCTCCGGCGCCCCGGCCCTGCCGCAGCCCCGGGCGGCAGCACCTGGAGCAGCAGTAGCAGCAGCCCGGCCGACTCTCCCCTGGGCCCGGTTCCCGCGCCGCCCCGCCGCGGCCGCCGCCGCCCGCCGCTCCCCGGAGCCTGGCCGCGGGCCCGGGCCATCCCGCCGCCGCCGCCGCCACCGCCGCCGCTCCCGGGGGAGCGGGAGCCGAAGGCAGGGAGAGCGGGCGGGAGGAGGGATGGCGGGAGCTGGCGGGCCCAGGGGACTGGGGGCCGGGGGAGGCGGGGGCGGGGCGGCGCGACCGGCCGAGGGGCGGCCAGGGACGTGACATCATCGGGGGAGGAGCGGCCGGGCCCGGGCCGCCGCGGCGGGGCGGACCCTGGCGAGTCGGTCGCCGGGGCTGGGGGCTGCGGCCTGCCCGAGGCCGCGGGAAGGAACGGGAGGGACCAGCGTGGGCCCGGGAGGCCCGGGCAAAGAGCTGACCGGGCTGCGAGGCGGGGGAGCCCGGGCGAAGCCGGAGGAGCGAGCAGGGCCGCACTCAGAAACCTCCACCGCCTCCGGGTCGCCACTGGACGAAGTCCCGGCTTCTTCTCCACTCATCTTCGTCTCCCAAGTACCCGCCGTACTCTCCACGCCGACGCCCGGTTCCTGCACTTGCCGCTCATTTTGACGCCTTCAGGCTTTTACTCTTGATGTTCTTTGCTCGCCCCATTGGTCCTGTCCGCCTTCCCCTGACCTCGGTTTAACCTCAGCCTGGGACTCAAACCTTTCTCCCTTAGGCTGGGCCCCAGACGCGCCGAGCGCCGTCCCTGCATCCCCCATCCCTAGTCCAGTCCGTGGCTTGTCTAAACACTAAAGCATTTTCGTTTCCAACCTGTGCCTTTCAGACACCTCTTGGTTTTTGATGCAAGTTGGATACTGAGTTAGGACTCACTTCCTCTTGTTCCCCAGCCAGAGAATCTTCCCTCTCAGATTTCATTCCTCTTAGTTCCTGGGCCAGAAATCATCTCGCCCTTGACCCGAGGGCTGAGCCGTTTCTGACCCTCTCCCCATATTCTGGCTTGGTGTGTCCTGACCAGGCTTTGAACAAGCCCAGAATGAGTCCAGCACTTTCCTGCAGAACAGCATGGGGGTGGCCTACCCAGCCTGCTGCTTCATTTTCAGACACCCCTGGAATATCACTTTCCTGCCCCCATCCCATCCTCTGACTCCCATCCTCTTTTGGGGGGCCTCCAAGTGTGCAGTTAGTGGTCCACCCCACATGGACCCAAATGAAGGTCCCAGGGCCACTACTGGGCCTCCTACTACCCCAGAGGCACCCCCACCTCCTTTTCTGACCTATGCCCCCCTCCCCATCACCTGCGGGGGCTGTCACTCCCACCCAGACTTCTCAAGGTCTCAGTTTTTACCCCAGGGATTATCAAAGGTAGTCTCTCCTTAAGGTGAATTCTTATACCAGTCTTTTTCTCCATCTCCTTATCTGACTCTAAATCCTTGCTCCTCCCAGTGTGGTCCCTGGACCAGCAGCTTCAGCATTAAGTGGGAGCTTGTCAGAAATGCAGAATCTTAGGCCCTGCCCAGACCTGCTAAATCAGAGCCGACCTTGTACCATGATTCCATGTGATTTGCATGCACATTACATTTGAGAAGCAATGCTCCAGAGAAACCCCCCAAGGCTGTTACATACTTGCTCCACCCCTCTCTCCAACCTTCAAACCTACCTCTGGCTCTCTAAAATTTCCAACAGACAGCCTACCTCTTATTTACTGGAGAGATTACAGGGAATCTTGGCAGAATCCTGCTGGCCTTCTCAGCCGTCCATGTTTTTCCTCCTTTCTCAGTCTTCTCACCCATTCTTTTTTCCCCCTGCACCCAGAGAAGCATGTGGGCTCAGGGACCTCTTTGCTCAGTCCCTTCTTCTGCACCTCCTGATGTTGTCCCATGCAATCTGTTCGTGTGTTGACACTCCTTTCCTCTGCTCAGACCTCCCCATTCTTAAAAGAACCCTCCCTTTGTCCCCGCCTCCTCCTCCTCCTACTTGTGCCACTCCTGTTTCTGAGAAAGTTCACAGGTGCACTCCGCCAAGGCTGCCTTGCCAGCCCCCAGCAAGCCACTCTTGAAGCCCTGTTGGTCTGGCTCCCTTCCAGTTCTGCCGCTGTTTGTTCCTCTCTCTCGGCCTCAGGCCCTCTGACCCCCGTGCAGCACTGGGCTCGGCGCACCTGCCTCCTCCACACACCTGGGAAGGCCATCCTGATGACCAGAGCACACCGTCTCTCCTCTTACCCCTGGGTGCGCCCCAGCTTGCTGTGTCCTGCTCCCTTCTCCTTTTCTTCTCTTAGAGAACTCAGGCTTTTCCACAGTCCCAGGTGACATCTTTGGGGAAATGATGTCCTAGTGTGGGCCTCCATCTGCTTCTGTCAGTCCTGAACATCCACTGGTGAGGACAGAGCTGTCCTTGACCCTTGGGGAGGAGGGGAGCACCTGCTTCCAGGGAGCGGCCCTCTCCCAAGTAGCTCTGCCCCTGAGCCGGGGCTGGGGTTGCTTCATCTCCACATGCCCAGCCACGTTCATGCCCATTCCCCACAAACCAGCTCTTCCTCCTGGCTCCCCTGTGTCTGTCCATGACACCTCCTCCTGATGCCCACCAGGTTTGGGGCCCAGGAGTTCATCTCTGATACTTTCCTTGCCTGCCCAATAGCCACCTCTTTGTCAAGTCTCAAGGATTCTCCCTCCTTGTTCTTCTCTCTACCCCAGGGCCCACAGTGAATATCTTTAACAATGAATTTACTTGCCCTCCACTGGACTCCACCCTGGCTTGGAAGAGGAATCTGCCCCAGTCTGAGGACAGCCTCCTTAGCTATCTTCTTGCCCCCACCTGTCTACCCGCAACCACCCTCCATCCTCCTGCCAGTTTTAAAAAGCAAGCCATCACCTGCTTAGAAACTTCCAAGTGTCTCTCTTGGCTCCCCAAGTAGACATTTAGGGACTTAGTTTAGGGACATTCTAGGCCCTCTGATGCCTGATCCAAACGTTCTTGCCAGCTTTCCCTCCATTCCCTTGCTGTGTGAGTCCCTTGCTTGCCTGACACAGAAGATCTACTGTTTTCCAAATGCAGACACAGGTCCCACACTCTCAACTCCGTGCCTCTACTCTGGCTGTGCCCTCCAGCTGTAGTGCCCTCACTTTTACAACACCTTTCTTCTCTGGGAGGCAACGGGGTCCACATTCTTTTCACGATGATTGAATGGCTTTGGCATTGCAAGTCTTCATGGTTCTAGAAGCCTCTTCCTAAGGTAGATTTGGGGGATAGGTGCTCAGAATTAACCTGGGCAGAAAGGGGAGTGACTCAACCCAGAGATGGGCTCCTGACTTGTGTGGGTTTCTATCTTGTATTAACCACATGGACTAGAAAGAAACCAACCAGGATGGTGTTTGAGGCTTCCCAGGGCCTGCAGCCCCTGAGAAGGTCTTCTGGGTTAGAGCCGCTGAACCAATGGGCAAGGCCCTGGGTGATGAGAATACCAACTGGGCCCAGCAGGGCAAATTCTGAGTCAGCTTTTGGAGTCAGAGGTAAGTATCTCTGCTTTAGATCCAGGAAGTCTGTTTCTTGGAACTCCTTGTGTGTTTTTATTTTGTATTTTTTATCTTAGTTCCTTTGACAAAGTTCTCCTCTCAAACCGTTGTAGCTTCATGAGACAGGGATTTGGGGGCCTCCTGTAGCTGTGTTCACAGAGAGCTGGAGGGGTGGTAGTGACAGATAGAGGATGCTGGGTCCAAGGCCACAGAGAACGCCAATCCTTTCTGGCCCAGGCAGAGGTTCACCCCAAGCCACCAGTCCAGAGCCTCTGACCTCATCCTTCTCCATCATGGACATTTGTGCTCATACCACAGGAAGGGTTCTTGTCATGTGCCTGGTGCTAGAGAATAAGCAAAGCCTAAAACACAGGCTGTGTCTTTATGGGTACCACAGTGTGGTGGTGGGAGATGTGTAAACACTCAGTGTCACTCCAGAGTGACCTGGTCTGATAAAGATGCAGGTGCAAATACTGGGACCAGCACAGAAGAAGGGCCTGAGCCTAAGAGGGGAGAAAGCGGTCTTGGGCAGAAGGATCAGCATCTGTAACGACTGGCAGAGCTGAATGAGTGGGTTTGCAGCACTTGCTTCAAGGTAGAAGCTTCTAGCACCTGGAGCATCATGCTTGTGCCTAGGATGCCATGCTAAGGAGCATGGAATTTTTCCTGTAGGCCTGGGCCTTAAAACAATATTTAAAAAATCAACAGAACTCTCTCTCTCTCTCTCTCTCTCTCCCCCCCCCACCAAAGGGGGGTGCAGCACCGTAGAAAACAAATCCAAAGTGGCACATTAGGCAGAAGTGCCCTTGACCAGACTGTGTGTTGGGCCATAGAGCCCCCTGGAGGCCCCAAAGTGTTAAGCCAGCACTCGGATCCACTTCATGTCAACTTCCCTGATGGGAATTAAAATATAGGAAGAATTTAACAATTAAAGCATGCACTAAATATGGCTGTTCGCATAGTTCTGTGAAGAAACAGAAATGGCTAGGGCCATCCCAGAAGGCTTCCTGGTGGGCATGCCCCAGCTCTTAGCCTTCCTCCCTTTTGCCTCCTGAGGTCTTTTCAACTGCTTCAGGAAAACTTGCACTACAGGTGTTATTTGACCTTAGGATCCATCCCATTCCCCGCATCGAGGCTGAGTTATTAAATTTTATATAAAAGCTCAATGGGAACCACAATGGTGGACACTTTTGTCAGGAGAGTTGTACTCCCATCTTCAGTCTCTGGGCTGGAGCACAGGCTGTGTGTCCCCTCAATATTCCAAGTTGTTCACACCCCTTCCAATCACAAACCATCTCAAAGACAACCAATCTCAATCTCAGTCCCTGCTGAGGAAGAGGAAAGGAACCATTTCCCTTGTGGAGCAAGATCTGCACAGGGCTGACCCTTTGTTCATCCTCCAGGTTTCAGAGAGGGTCCAGGACCTGCAGGTTTCTAACCTAAATCTGTAACAGCACCAGCAGTATCCCTGGAGGGCTGCCCCTTAGCTACCCACAGGCAGTGGCAGAAAGTCTGAAATGACAGCATCAGCCCCCACCCCCAATTGTGTAAGCTTCAGTCAGCAGGGAGGAAGGCTAAGAGCTGGAACATACCCACCAGGAAGCCTTCTGGGATGGCCCTAGCCATTTTGTTTCTTCGTGGAACAATGTGAACAGCTATATTTAGTGCATGATTTAATTATATATATATATAACTTGGCATGGGGAAGGTCAAATTTCTTTTCTGATTGCTGTGGGGTCAACAAGAAAGGAAGCCATCACCCCTGAAGTGGAGCAGGGTGGGTAGGGGTCAGGGGAATGGAGTGGGTAGGTTGGAGGGGGCCATTGTTCACCTTGTCCTGGGTGAAGTGGGGAGAAGACCTGGCAGAGGCTGATTCTCCAGGAGGCTTAAGCTCATCCACACAGGCCCTTTCCAAGGCCCTTCACAAACTCCTTGCAATGTGTTCCCATGCTTATATATAATTGTGTATTTGTAATGTTGTATTTTTCTTCTTAGAGGGCCACCCTCCAATTGTATAAGCTTAAGCCCCACCCCACCCCTCCCCCAAACCTAAATCTTCCCTTAGGATCTGGAGTTGGGTAGGAACAGTTAGGTAGGCTACATACTCAGTCCCATAATACTCTGTTTCTCCTTGGCCCTGCCTGACTCATCCGCCACCATTTCTTCACCCCAAAAAACATCTGCCACACCCTTCAGAACCCTTCTCCCTAATTAGCCAACTTCCTCATATTCTCAACATATATTTTAAAGGTTTCTCTCATCTCTAGCCTTAACTGAAACCTGGATGACACCTGTTATGGACTGACTGTTTATGTCCCTTTGAAATTCATATGTTGGAGCCCTAACTTCCAATGTGACTGTATTTGGAGACAGGGCCTGTGAGGAGGTGATAAAGGTTAAATGAGGTCATAAGGATGGTGCCCTGATTTGATAGGGCTGTGCCATTAGAAGAGGAAGAGATACCAGAGCTCTCTCCACCATGTGAGGACACAGCAAGAAGGCAACCATCTGCAAGCCAGGAAGAGAGTCCTCATGTTACCACATCGAACTTGGATTTGCTCTCCTGATGTGCAGCAAAGCAAATCTACTGACATTGGATTGTGGTGATGGAAAGTACAGCCTTTATTTGCAGGGCGCCAAGCAAGGAGAATGGGTAGTTAATGCTCAAAAGACCCAAACTCCTCAATGTTTTTTAGGGAAGTGTTTTTGAAGGCAACATTAGGGTTAAGGGTTGTGGGGTGCATGATCAGCTCACGGACAGTCTTCTTATTGGTTGGTGGTGAGGTAACAGGGTGGTGTTTTGGGAATCTTAATCATTAATCTTCTAGCTCCAAACAGTCTAAGGTCTTTGTGTTTGTGGTCAGCACTTTCTATCCATTGGGGTCCTGATTTCTGTAAAACAACTCAAAGATATGTGTCAGATTGTATTTTTACCCCTTGAGGAGGAACTAGGGGTCCTGTGACTCTATTTTATGGCTGAACTATTGTTTAAGATATTATTACTTTTCTTGCTTGACTGATTTTCCTTTATTCTCTGTATTCCCTCACTTCTCTAATTAGTAACTGCTTGAGTCTGCTCTTTGGAATGTGGTCAAGGCCTAGGATACTAAAGCCTTTTTTTTTTTTACAAACAAGAAATGGGGGACCCAGAGGGGTCTGCCACTGGGAAGGTTCTGCAGGCTTCTGCTTGGTTTCACTCACCAGAACCTGAATTGGCTAGCGCCTTGATCTTGGACTTCCCAGCCTCCAGCACTGTAAGAAAATAAATCTCTTTGTAAGCCACCCAGTCTTTGGTATTTTCTTATGGCAGCCTGAGCAGACTAAAGCAACATCCTAGGACACCCTTTCTCCTAAGGCTCTTTCCAGCAGTTATTGTTTATTTTCTTTCACCCCATGGCATGTAAGTACTTGGAATTTGATTTTGCCCTACTTTCAAGCTAATAGGTTTACCTGTTACTGTTTCATGGTTGCTGGCAGAAGACATGAAATTCCTGGATCAGAGACAGAGAACTTTATTACTCAAAGCAAAGCAAGTAGCAAGAGCATCATGCTTGCATCAGTTCCTCTTGCCCCCACTCCCAAGTCCCATAGGGGCAGTGTGAAGGAGCCCTGTGGGTGCTCTGCATACAAGTGGGTTTGTGTTGCATCTGAGCAACAGGAGAATGGGGGACCCACCTCTTTTATAGAAGGCAATAAACAAGCTCTTTGTCCTGGAGAGAGAAATTACTTTGTTCCTTAAGGTTGCTGTCTGCACACACAACCCTGAGAAATAGTGCAGGCAGAGTGGTCAGGACCTTATATTCTTGGCATGCCACGTAAAAACGTGCAGTGATGCACAGGGCCTGTGGTGTCCAAATTCTTTCAACAATTGGCCCTACACATTC